GGGGGTCCAACAAGCTATTAAAAAATATTCACATTTTGCATTAATGTTTAAATATACAAAGTGTCCGGTGACTTTTTCCACTGAGTGTATGTCATATGCCTCGCAAATGTTTTGCGGTCGAGCCGATAAAAAAATAATTCAAGGCTTTGCTTCCTCGTTTTTAATTTATCCCGATCATATTCAATTTTTTATTAATTTTATTTTATTATGGCCCAGCCGTACGGCGAAAATAGAATCGATAGTCTCAATTTAGCGAATTTATATCAAAAGTATTCCGCCTGGTGTGAAGATACCACATAGTAACACCGTTCTTGGTAAAAAAATTTTCGCAAATTAAAATTGGCATTAGGCGTCAACGAGCAGGTGGTGGAAAGAGAGAATGGCAATATATTCTTGATCGTCTAAAATTATGAACAAGATACATAATAATAAACTATTTGAATTTATTTGAATACATAATTACAGAAAAAACTCCTGCAATGACAATCACAACTCTTGTCAGGTGGATAAATAAACGTTTGTTTTTTTTTTCATCTCTACTGGCTAACACCATAAGCTAACTCTGCACGCCGCCAATTCCTACAATTGACGGTGCAAATGCAAACTTATCATCACTAAATAACAGCTGACTTCCTCAGCAAATGCCGATGCATGTCATCACTTGAATCACAACGCAATGACAAACTCATCGTCTTGGAATGGTTACAGTCCTTCATGAAATTTAACTGATTTAGGCGTTAATTTCACCAAAATGACCATATTTTAACCGATTTACGATTTAAGCACTAATTCCCATTGGGATGATTATAGCCCCGGACTAAGTGGGATATTGTAGTCTATATAGACTAAATATTCCACTGACAGAGAAAACTTACTATGCGAGGAGGCAATTACAATAGTAAATGAAACTAAGATTTTTGTTGTAACCAAGAATTTTATTGAACAATTACTATTACCATGTTAATAAAGACAATTATTATGCTTAATCAATGCATCTTCATACAGTCTTAATTCCCATCTGTCTTATTACTGTATTATTAAATTCCAAACTAATTGAAGTGTATAAACATAACTGATTTCAGTTTAGTATACTAATTAATACTAATATAATACTGAAACAAGCTCCCCGTTTTGCTTTATTTGTTGGAATGGATGGCCATGTGTCCATCCATGAATGTGTTTTGTCGCCCTAGAATAGCCAGTTTAGTGTATGTAAATGCTTCATCTAAAGCCTAATATACAAATAGGTGTTCTGTTGAGACTAGTAAATGCATTGTCAAATTGTTTTAGTTCCAGATAGACACCTGAAACAAGCCCCACTTTTTTACTCAATGCATATGTGTTATAAAATTCTTAATGTCCTGTTAAAATTGATCAATGCATTGTCATATTGTTTTAGTGCCTATATTCCAGATAGACATCTCTCCCTTCTATTCAGAGCATATACATTATTAAATTCAGTCTAAATGTTTGGTTAAAACTGGTTAATGCATGATCATATTGTCATAGCGCCATATTATGGCAATGCATTTTTTTGGCAAGTATTGCACATATCGATTGTATTACATAATAATAAGCAAACATTCGTGTACTTTTGTTGAGCACGCGCCATGGGTTAGGGAATCTGAACTGTCCAGTTTAATCTCCCTCCCTCCAGTAAACGGATAGTCTCTCGTCGTGGCAGCTGTTTCGTTTTCGTATTAAAGGGGGCTGAGTTTATATTTAATTGTGTGCGTAAGGAGAGCGGTGGAAACAGCTGAATGCTGTGGTTGTAGTGACATTTGTTGTATTTGAAACGTGTGTCTGGGGAGGGGCGCGAGGGGAACAGCCAATTACTGTGGTTGTAGTGACATTTGTTGCTGTGAAGTTCTTTCCCGTATGTATGTAAGTAAGAGGTTCAGTGTGCCGTTGAAAATGCAAGAAGTTGGAATCGTTAATAACTGTTTAAGTAATGCCTGAGCTCGTAACAAACTTAATCAGCTTTATCGTTGATTGCGCAATTGAGCACCAATCAAAATATAATACGGTTACACGAAATCGTTCGTTTGTGGCTTTTTATGAAACACGGCTTGATTATGAACATGATAAGTGGTAAATGTAATAAATAGTAAGTAAACTTGAGCATTCTCGCTAAGTTCGACTTTTTTGCAGTTACAAAAGTTGAAAAGACATACACTATTTTTGATTAAAATTAAGCTTTTTTTTTACCCGATTATTCTGAAACTTACGTTATGAAGTTAATAAACGACCATGTTTCTGATAGATAATATATTAGAGAATGTGCTGTGAATTTTGGATACAACGCTTACATACACGGAGAAAATAGTTATAGACATACTGCAATTTGTTATGTAGAAATCGCGTAACGAATTGTTTCCATTTTGGTAAGTACCCGCGATAGTAATAGCATGTAACCGTTGCAGATATGATAAATAATATATAAGTTTTTTCATTCCCAGTCTACATGTGATTTTTCTTCCATTCTCGCCTAACATTGTTAGTACTGTACTAATGCTTGCAATAAAGCTCAAAATTTTTTTACAAATTATTTAAGAGCGTACTATTAAAATACCCAAACCACATGAATGTATTTACCATTGTGAAGGCTAAATGTTTAATGTTATTATTCAAACTATGTTTATCATTCTGAAGTTTCAATGCATTAAGTATTGAGAATGTACAATTTGACCCTTTACTAAAGGCGCGCTTGATGTAAATATAAGTAAATCGATACTTTTTTTTCTAATTCCCGTGCAAAATTTTATACGTAAATTTCTCGTAAAGCCGATATTAGATATAGATATCGTATACGCGATAAACCAATATTATAAGATAATGAAATGCAATCTACTATTACGGGTACATTCTGTCCTCAAGCGAAAAAAAGTCGGCTTCAATAATTATACCAAACCTTCTCTAAGAAGTATGAGATACAAAATATATAAATATGTTACGTCATCACAGATTGATGGGTTTGTTACTTCATAAATGCATACGCGATCGTGGAGAAATTAAAAGTTTTACTTGCCCATTAATTTAACATCGATGCAAAATGCCGTCGCCTTTTATAGAACTTGTGAGTACAAGATTCGGATTATGTATTCTAATTCATGATACTACACTGACACGCGACTGAGATTTCGGGCAAGACATGACCATGTTCTGTTAGAACATACCATTTTCGTACTAGCGTTAACAACAGTTTTGTTGCTTACAATCGTAGAGCTGTCTTTGCGTATAGTACTTCAATATTCGGCACTTGTTATTAAATGAGGTTTTTCGAGTTCATTTAGACAAGCGTTGTTCCGTTCTTGCCTTGCTCTTATTCATTGTTGAACTGATCTTATTTATTTAGTCGTCTAAAATAAATCGATAAATAGCTTGTTGAACGTCAATCCGCACAAATTTTTGTTCGGTCGTCTTGAAATAAGTTAATAAAGCTATACAAATCCAAATTAATAGAACAAAAATAAGAAACTCTCTATAAACAGTCCCGTTTACCTTGTCAGTCGCCGAGGAGTCACTACTTTAGCATCAATGTAACAATTTATGTACCACATCTCCACGGGACCGTCTCCAGAAAAAATATGCGATATGTACTTCGGACTCCCATTGATCGTGACATTTGTGCGGGTTGTCCGTATTTTTTGCAGAAAGTGATGTGTTGTTGTAGAGCGTATATAGAAGTTGAAGAGCTGGATATAATACTCTTGATACGATACGTAATTATTTTGATGTTGATTCCGGTGCTGGGCGTGGAATCTCGTCGCTGTGTCAGGTCATCGACGATCCTTTTATGGACGGAGAGCGTGTCAGCAGAGGTAAGGCGGAGCAGATAGCATCGCTTAGGAGCGTGCGAACCCTTGGACTATATAAGCCCCTGACAACTGCATTCATAGAGCTGACAAATCGGGTCGTTTACTTCAAATTCTTCATCGTCAGACCAGTATTTATTGCTAGGGTGCTGCGAGATGGAATCGACATTTTCATAATGTTTAAGCATGTCTCAGTCGTTGAGATGTGAGTTAGCTGATTAGTTTTATATTGGTGGAGGGCTTTTTTTGCGGTTAACTATGATAAAAATGTTTATATATTGTCAATAAAATCAAGTGTCATTTAACTAAGCCATCTTGATGATTATGATATATTCATCTACACTTTTGCTTTCCGAAGCAGGACAAGGAAAAGAAAATCTTAATCTTTGGTGCGGCCAGGGGATCCTATCCCATAGTCTACTTTCAATTGACATAGAGGAACGAACAATTGTACTTCATACCGTTCATTGCATATTGCGTGATTTAGGGGGGGGGGGGGGCGATTGAAGTATCCCAGTCATTTATACAATATAGTGTTATTATAATAGTCTTTAAATTTTGTATCTGGTTTCTCCTGAACGATGATGATAACTTTACAGATTAATTCTAAGTATAACGCAGTTTTTTTGTTCACCGAGCGCTTAGCATCTTGCTTTCTCTGTTGAATCTCAAAAATCTAAACGTCCTCCAAAAGTATTCTCAGCCGCCAGACGGAATGCGCTAATCTAATGAGGTTATTACCAGCATTCTGAAAATATCGTCGTTGCTGTTTGGCGGGAAACGGGAGAAGGATCGTCAGCATATTTCTTCATGTAAAATGTCTTATCTCAACGGGGAATCGACACAAGAAGACGGGGTCCAATACTATCAATTATTGCTCGTTCAGGTGCTTCCGGAATATCTTCACCAAATTTATAGAAAGTTCCATCATCTTTTGTGATATTATAGTCTTTGAGATATACTGAACTGCATTCTCATGCACGGACGACCAGCTTTTTTTACGTTGATATGCGAATTTTTGGGTCGATCACCGACGTCGCATGTCATGTCTTCTACTGTTTCGAGTAGATCATCAAATGTAATGAAAGTCATTTCAGCTTCTACATGAATGTATCTACAAAGTAACAGAACAATGAGATCGAGACTAACATTATAAACCAAGGACTCTATCATCAATCACCTTCTCAGACAAATGTCTTCGTGTATGAGATTTCTCTGCACGGAATGACTCGAAAATAGTATACGCATCTCCAAGAGGCGAACGACAAGTTTCCAGGTATAGTTGTGCAGTTTGTGTAAGGTATACCTGTGAACGGATAAATGCGTAAGCACGATGTATATTGTAAGAACAATTGCCTTGAGCATCATTATCAACACAAACCATTTCGTCATAATATTGTAGTGCAAACCATGTGCTTCTGCCTCTACCTGTGTTTGTACCATGTAAAGTGGGGTTATTTCGGTGACGCGAAATGATCACGAAACGATTTCAGCACTGACGAACGACTTTCAGAGCGGCAGACGCGTTTCCCCCACGAATACCAAATGCCAAAATCGTACAAGACTGAAAGATCAGCTGGTTAGCGAACGCCTCATCTTCACCAGAAGCCTTATGAACCACTTTCCAATAGGCTCATGATTATCGGATGCCTAAGAAATAGAGACTCTTTTATAAGCGTATAAGATATGTGTGTATAATATCCGCATCGGGTAACACTTCATACCGTTTTTCCCTCTAAAATCAACATCATGGAATCGTAAGATGATACTGAATCAATCAGAAAAGGATAAATTAATAATGGATGAGCAAATCGATAAATCCACATAACGTACCAGTCGGTCAGATAGAAAGCATTGCAGATATCCAGTTCAGTCTCGAAGAACAATATCCTTTTCTTGCGTTCGCTGACGATGAACCCACCCAGAGACTTTACCCATTGTCAGCATCATTTTCAAGTGAATAACTCGATTTATTGCATAAAAACGTTAAACATTTCATCGCAGTAACAAATTTACCTATCATCACAATAATCACGTGTTTATGGCGATGCTGGGGAATATGCATATTGATATCGTATACAATTACAAAATTACGAGATGCAAGTCTAAACGGATTCCCTCCATAGCTACAAACCTCATACTCAGGGAATGTTAAGGGTGAGTTTGGACCGTCTATGAGCTAAAAGAGGAACTGTAGCCAATAGACAAGAATCTAGTACTTTAGCAACATTTTATCTAGACTCTGAGAATGAACTGGACCAGTATAACGCCAATATCTCATGTGACGTGCTTATAAATGAGTTAATATTAATATTAACTTACCCTAAGATGGCGATCAATTTCTAATAGTTGTGTGTGACATACATATTAATATTCATTAGACGCTGTAACGTTTGAAACTTCTGAATCTTTCTTCGGCAAAGAAGGCAGAGTTTTTGGGATTCCACAGAAGTCGAAACAAATTTTGGAAGAGAAGGGAGGCTGGGTCAATGCATACATGAGAGTTGCCGCCGAGAGGAACAGGGTTGGAGAGAGAAAAGGAACTTTTCCAAGGAGTCGGACTGATGATTACGGAGCATAATCTAAGAAATTGTTGTCAGATCGCCCATCAAAGTTGACCTGGAGGGTATGGTATCGGTAGTTATTTAACGTCGAGAAACGATTGTTGCATTTGAACAGTAAGAACCGATCAATGCGATTACTTTGGGATAGTGAAAATTCATTCAATTTATTCAATCGCACGTGACTTTTTTTTCCCGAATGTTTAAACAAAGACAGAAACGTTTGAAATCAAACCTCCGTTATGATTAAAATATACAGTACTCTAGTGTATCTTGTAGACAGCAAGGTCTATTTTCCGAAAGTGACAATGCATACGTAAGCTTTCCTTAATAGTCTACTATACCTTATTCCGTTTTTGAAAGCAACAAACAATAGCATATGCAAGATGTAATCCTCATTATTTACCATTTGTCAGAAATAGAAGTACGGCAACTACCAATGGCTTAAATTCACATGTTGAAATTTTATCAGCAGTTATAATAAATGGGGTGCTTTGCTTGTGAGAGTTAAGCCTCAACAATACAACTGATTGTTCGGTCACAAGCTATCAGTGTAAATGCCAACATTTTATGCATAACCCGCTGCTCAGGGTCTGTATTACAGTAGTGTTACCACACTGCGGATAAAGAGATGATGCGACTAATAATTATTAATATTACTGTATTATCGTTATAGAATACATCTTGTTAGATGTAGCAAAATGGAGAAAACAGCTTTCCGTTTTCTATTAATGTCTAGTCAATTTATCCACAATGCGCTCTCGCTCACATCGACCAAAATTACAATTGCTTTTACATACGTTTTTATATCAACATATCTTTACCTATTGCTACTTTCCGAATCATTGGGAAACAACATGACATAAATTGTATTACAAAATACGTTGCTATTGTAAATGCGACACAATATATACATCATATTCGCACAAAAGAGGTATATATCACAAGTAAGCCGTTCAACAAAATTTTTTTATGGGTTTGTTTAGAGCATCCATGTCGAAATAAAACCTCATCTTGACAGATCTAATATAAAAAATAGAAGAAGACAAGAATCGGTTATAGTATTATTTAGCGACTGTTTGATAAATAAGATAGATGAAGGATGGGTTGATAAGTATTTTTGACTTCAAAAGGCGGAGAGTTTGCAGTAACTGTTATAGCTTTATTTGTCATACTTAATCTATTTCTGTCTACAATGCTCCTCTCCGTACGCAGCAGCATAAGATATGCAACAGTCGGCTGAGTATATCCATGACACTCTAATAATAATAATAAATTTAGTTTATCGATTTCGGGCTCCATGTATTATGAAATTAAAAGATATAATTACTCTTCATGAAAATGTGTTATTTTTTTAATAGCGTAAAAGTCAATTTTCACTTTTTAGAGATGCTTTCATACACAATAAATTTTAGAAATATTGTTTGTTGTCTGTTCAACCTGCAGATTATGAACGTTTATGGTAAAAAGACAAAGTAACGAATATAAACATAATCCCTGCATCTGCTGTCGTTTTGGCAAGTTACTATGTACTTACACTTCTTACGCAACAACTCTCAGCTTACGTATAAGTATATAAACAGCCAATATAATTAATAACGAGCCATTTGTTAACTATAGACCCTACGCCAAAATTCAAATTTCAATAATAACCCTCACTTTCCTCGAACTAATATATTGTAAAACACGCATATGCAACGTTCTACTATGAGACGACTTTCCGTCAGTGACTTTCTTGATAAATGGATTACAGACGATGATAAACATCGACTAAATAATCCTCCATCCCCGTTACATCTCCCGGTCCACAAATTAATTGCACCTTCTAAGCTCAACGCGGCCAAACCATTAAAAATATACCAAATTTATCGACGGAACTTTGTCGCTGGTCATAAAGATCGTAAGCTATCATACCACGTGCTTAACTCCCAGGCCTCACAATTGTGGTTTGACGAAAGTTCTGCTATCAGAGGCTATTTCATATTTTTGCAACAATTGATGAGACGACATCTGGATATTGTCAACCACAGAAATGGTGAGCATATTTTACATTATATCGTGATTATCGCTTAGATTATTACTAAAAGGCAACTTATTTAATTTTGCAGGAGTTTGCTACGATTTAAAAATGTCCACTAGCAAGAGTTCCTGCCGGTTTGCATGACGAGTGGTTATACACAGTCGACGCTGACGGAAAGTGTTATTTCGTTGATCGTTCTTTGCTTCGTAGAAGATTTTATAGACGAAATCTTTTATCCAGAGCACTATCACGATGATTAACATGTGTATGTAGACACATACTAAATTGAGTACCCAACTACAAATATGATATCACAATTATATCCGTTAGAACCAAGTTAGGGGCAGTATTAGTTTTATGACTGTTGTAATTTAACATCAAATAAGATTTGGCATACCTGTTAACCAGTCATTTTGCTTATAAATATGTTGTTTATTATTATAATTATCTGAATATGTAATGTCAAATAAACATAAGCTGCTTATCGCTTATAAATATGCCAGAAGCATACACATACTTTTCTTTTCGTAGAATTTTGGCAACCAAATTAATACTCACAAATTGGTATTTTTTTTTTTGTTTTTAATTCCCGTGCAATTTACACATGATAAAGTTCTCGTAAAACTGATATTACATATAGATTTTGCAAAAAAAGTAGGTCTAATTATTGTACCAAAGCAAATGCTCAGAAGCATGAGATAAAAAGATATAGATACATCAATCATAATTGATAGATTTGTTACTTCGTAAATGTCATCAAAAAAGCTATCGAAAGTTTTTGGAATAAAATATGTGTCAAACAAACATAATTTTTTTCCGAATACGCGCGTCTAAATAAAAGTCATCTAACACGGGGTTTGTACGCTTTACCCTTACGCACGTAATACAACAAAAAATTATTTTGTAATTCACAATTTGTTTGTTTTGTTTACACTTTTCGCTTCTTT